GAGAGAAGGGGGGGGCGAGGCCACGCCCCTCCCGCGGGCGGCCACGCCCCGCTGCGTCCGCGCGTTGCCCCCCAGCCCCCAGCCCCGAGCTGAGGGGCGCCGCCGTTTGCAGCGGGCCCGGGGTTACCGGGGTTACCTCGCCCCGGGGGGGGATGCGGCACGGAGGGCTCGGCCATGTGTGGCCGCGGGGGGTCCCCGGGCTCTCTGAGCCCCCCCCCCGGGTTTGGGTGGGCTGGGCGCTGAGGGGTCCCGAGAGTCGCGTCCCCGCCTGACCTCGTGTCGCGGCGCGGAGCCGCAGCGCGCCCTGCGTTCGTCGTCGCCTCCTCGGTGCGGATCGGGTTTGGCCCCGCGTGGCCCCGAGCTGCGACGCGTCGCTCGTGGTGTTGGGGGCTGCGGAGGGAACGCTGCCCCTCCCGCGAGGAGCCGGGCTCGGCCGTGGGGCTGGACGGTGGGACGCGGCTCTGAGCCGGGTGCGCGGGGCCGAGCTGCTCCCGCTGCAACAAAACCACCTTTGTGCTTTGCTGTGAAGCAGTCTGTAAGAACACAGCCAACATCCGCACCGCTCCAACCCGCAGCGGGGGCCGTCCCGGCACGATGCTCGGAGCGTTTCCCTGCAGGAGAAGCCCGGCCCTGGGGTTTGTCCTTCCCGTACCGCTGCCAGAACCTCACGTGCGGTTTGCGGGGCTGGGCTGTTCCCTAGCTGGGGAAGTTCTGCTTTAGTGGCCGCCTGACTGCACGGTGCTGCCGGATGCGATGATCCCAGCAATGGTGCTCGACAGGCGGGGAGAAATCCTCGCGTGCATTGACAGGCACCTGCTGTCTCTCTGGTGGTGAATTTAAAACGCCTGCTTCCATTCTTCAGGCTGCTCCGCCAGCCCGGAGCCACGCCGTGTGCCGCGGTGGGACCCGGGGATGATGCTTACAGGGTTTTTCCCCCTTGGCACACAGGCGGTGGTGCTCGGGAGGCTGCTGCAGTCCAGCCCCCCCTTCTGCTTGCCCCCCGCTGGTGGGCTTCATGTGAGAGATGGCGAATGCCGAAGTGAGCGTCCCGGTGGGTGATGTGGTGGTTGTACCAAGTGACAACAACGAAGGGGAGAACCCGGAGGATACCAAAACCCAAGTGATCCTTCAGCTCCAGCCGGTGCAGCAGGGGTGAGTCAAGCGCCGGCGTGGTGATGGTTGGGGTTTAAGGAGGGTGCTTAAGAGGGGGGGCTGCAATTCGATGCATTTTCCAGCTCCGTGCCGATAACGGAGGGGAATAAACCATCTGCGGCCTCGCCAGGCGTAACTCAAAAAGGGTTTTTGTGTATGAGCACTGCAGAGCCTCCGAGGGCTGAAGTCGTCCTGCAGAGACGCGGCTGCACGGTGCCACCCCTGCGTACTGCAGCTGCATGGCTTTGGCAGTGGGGAGCGGGCGTGGGGCAGCCCAGCCCCGTGTCTGTCCTTTCCCGTCACCCTTTCTCAGTTCCAGGTGGGATTTTGCAGCATTGCAGCTGGTTGACGTGGTGGTCTGTGCCCTGCAAATCTGCATGCACCTCTGTGCTGGTTTTTATTGATCCTCTCCAATGCAATGATGCCAGGGTGTCGGGGGGAATCTTGCAGCACTCTAAAGCAGCTGCCAGCAGGCACTTCTTCCTATAGGATGGAAATACACGGATCTGGTTTGGCAGTATATGCAAAACAGGGTTGCTGTGGGACTGACAGCAGCCCTGTGTGATCCCCGGGGGAAGTCACCGATGCTACAGAATGTCACACAGGGTTGGAGGGGAAATCCTGGACCATTGAGCTCTGCTTCCTGTTGTTGTGGTAACTGCTTGTGTCAGGAATCAAAGGAAAAGGCCGAGGGAAGCGTCCTGCAGGGCTGTGTCAGTGGTGCTGGCAGTGCCTCTGCCTGTGTCGGTCCCTGGGACTGTCATCGTGCCTTTGTGCCAAAAAATGACTGTGATTGAATCCGCATCAAGCACAGAATGCACGTCCCTCGAGGAAAGAAACAAGCCAGATTTTTAGCCCTGCGCCATGAATCTTAATTTTCCACGAACCTTAAATTCCCATGATCTGAATAACTTGTTTATCCATGGATGCTCTCCCAACAGGATTTACCAGGAGGGCTCAGAGGCAAGTGCTGCTGTTGTGGCCGTGGAAACGCACACCATACACAAACTAGAGGAAGGGATCGGTGAGTGGCTGCGTGGCGTGGGGCAATCCCTGCTTTGCAGGGCTGATCAGGTGTCCCTGCTTCGTGGGGCTTCCCTCTGGCTCTGCCCTTGCAGATGGTGTTCCCTAGGCTCTTGTTGTGGATGTGGGTGCAGGGTCTGGGCATGCTCTGGAATAAGAGAGCTGTTACTGCTTGGCCTTGGAGCTGAGATCCTGGCTATCTTGCAGTGCTTGGTAAGGGCTCCCATGGGGTCACGGGGAGCCAAGATGTTGCTGTAGCCTCGGTGTGCAGATTCTAGCAGCTGGGATGAGGGCTGTCAGGATAGTGGCTGTGTCTGCACTGCGCTCTGATTGCTGTGCTTTGCAGAACAAATACCTGTACAGGTTTGGGTTGAGCGTTCTAAAGAGGCTGTGTGTGCACCCTGCCCTCCTGAGGAGCAGTGGGAAAAGCCCCCTGGCCTTCGGTGCTGGATCTTCACTGCTGTTGTGCTTCCTGTGTGGCTGCGGCTCTTCTGGCAGCGTTAGCAAAATCTAGCAGTGGAGAACTTCTGATGAGCACGTAGCTGATGGCTCTGCTAGAGAAACCAGGGCTCCAAGAGATCTGTGAGATGCGTGTTTCAGATTTTGGAGCGTTTTTTTCCATATGGTTGTTCTCACTGACCTTCCCCTTACAGATGTGATCCTGCTTTTTCCAAATAGACGAGCTTCCTTTTTGTATTAAAAAGCAGATGTCACTTGCTGTTAGAGCAACAGGAGAAGGCTAAAACAGGGCTGATCTGAGCTAGGAATGTCCCTTCTTTTGGTCACAAGAGCGCAGGTCTCTCAGTCTGTGGGCTTTCAGCTCTCGATGTGTGGGGTTGGAGCCTCTTGGGTGGCAAGTTTCATCTGTCCCTTTCTTCCCTCAGACCCCAGCACCATTGAAACAAACGAGGAAATTGAGATTGCTTATCCCATCACCTGCGGGGAGAGCAAAGCCATTCTGCTCTGGAAGAAGTTCGTCTGTCCAGGAATTAATGTCAAGTGTGTGAAGGTAATGGAGTTTTCACAGCAGATTCCTTCTCTGCTCTCCAGGACTGGCACTGAATCTCCACAGCACTTCTTTACTGTTTGTTTTTCATCTGAGCCTTGGAGCTGAGCAACTCTACCTTTGCAGCGTGCTGGATTGTTGGTGCTGAAGTTGTTTTTAGCATGAGCAGAAGGAGAGAAAGAGTGGGATAAGGGCTGAAGGTCTTGTTCACTTCATATTTCTTGGCTACTGCTTAAAGCAGAGTTGTATTTGGCTCTCGTTGAGGGACTTGGAGCTGAAGGCAGGAATGCGTAGTGAGATCTGCCAGAGCTTTTCTTCCTTGTTTCTTTCCCTTGGTGCCCTGATACTCCACTCCTGTCAGCTCCTCAGTGAGCAGGCTGCACCAAGAAGAGGAATCGTGCTGCTACCTTTCCCCATTTGACAGTGTGCTCACATAACAGCTGATGCACCGAGGCTGAGTCACAGGGCTCTGCAGTGACAGCAGTCCAGGGCTGACCCTCACCAGGAGCTCAGGTGCTGGAATAGGATGGAACAGATGCCCAAGCGAATACCAAGTGTCTGCTGGTCGATTTGATTTCGTAGGCAGCTCCCATAACAATCTCTGAGATGACTGTGTGTTCTCACAGAAGGAGACCATTTGGTTCATGCTCTGTACAAAAGCCTGCAGGGCTGTTCCTGGCTAGGGCTGTGTGGTTTGAATGCCAATGACTGGCAGGCTGTCCTCACAAACATGGAGTTAAAATCACTGATGTGTTTAGGCATTCAAAACTGGTAACAATTTGAAAGCAGCTTTTCTTTCTGAGCAGAAGGGCTTAGATGAACTGGACTGGCTGTAGTTATATGTCCACAGTTTTCTGAAGCAATGCTACTATGAGTTTGCTGAGCTTTTTTTTTCTCTCATTGTCAGTTCAATGACCAACTGATCAGCCCGAAGCATTTTGTTCACCTGGCTGGAAAGTCTACCCTAAAGGACTGGAAGAGGGCTATCCGTCTCGGAGGAATCATGCTGAGGTGACTTGCACCACTGTGTCCAATTGCAGGATCCCAAGCATGAACTTTGTCAGGAAACCTCCTGGGGGCTCTTGTTCCCTGCAGCATCTCTGGGGGAGAGATCCTGCTCTACAGGGCAGGATTCTTCATCCTGAGTAGTAACAGCCTCACCTGGGGGATGTGGGGGTGGGAGGGGGATGGCTGGAGATGTGTGTGAAGCTGGGGGTTGGTTTGTGCATCCCATCTGAAAGCTGTGCGGTTTTGTGTGGAAGAATGGCACAGGGTTCCCCTTTCTCCATCTTTCCCGTGGCCAAAGTGGAAAACTCCCTTTCATCTCCAGTTTGAGCTTTTAGCTGAGTCTGATTCTCTCCCACTCCCTGCACAGGAAGATGATGGACTCGGGACAGATCGACTTCTACCAGCATGACAAGGTTTGCACCAACACCTGCCGAAGTACCAAGTTTGATCTCCTGATCAGCAGCGCCAGAGCACCGATGCCGGGGCAGCAGAGCGTGGTGCAGACCCCAACCTCAGCTGATGGTAGGCTCTCTAACAAAGCCATGGCATGGGCTAATGCTGGTGACTCCAGGCAGCCTGTTCCACGTCACCTGGAGCTCAGCAAATAGAGTACAATGGCTGAAGGCTTGATTTGACTGCCATTCCAGCTACAAATTCTCAGCTAATCACATGCTTTGCAACAGGAAGTGATCTCTTTGCAGAGGTCAAAGGAGAAGAATACCACATCGTTCATCTGGGTGGTGACTTTTATATAAGGCTGAGGGGGGGTGGGATGGCAGACTTGTCTGTAAGCTAAGGAAGATCTCCTGGAAAGCTCTGTGAGCACGTGAGAAAACATCGCAGTGGCTGGATATTGCTTTAGGTGTCCAAAATTTGATCCAAAAACTTAAGATCAAGTTGGATACATTTCATGTGTATGAACTAGCATGGACTCAGGCTGTGTCATTTCCTAAGAGATAAGGGCATGTCTGAGGTGCAGAGCACTCTATTGGTGATGCAGAAGGGGAAGGGGGGCTGGGCTGAGACTTGCTCTCTGTCTCTCTATTCTGATCCCTTTCTCCTTTATTACAAAAGCTCCAGTTTGTTTTTTTGGGCACGTGGTTTTCCCTCCAGAAGCCCCAGAGCTTCAATTGTACTTCCAATGAGAAACAGCATTACTTGCTTGTAGCTGATTTGTTTGAAAGAGGCCAGGCAGAACCAACCTGACCAAGAGAGTGAAAAGGAGCCTGAGAAGGGCAGGGGAGCGGAATGCCAAGCAGGGATTCCAGGCTGGTGCTGCAGAGAGGGCTGATGTTGCCTGTTTGGCAGGGAGCATCACCCAGATCGCACTGTCCGAGGAAAGCATGGAGGAGGGGATCGAGTGGAACTCTGCTCTGACAGCTGCTGTCACCATGGCCACTGAGGAGGGCATGAAAAAGGACACGGATGAGATCTCAGGTAAGCTCTGGCTGCTCCTCGGGTGTTTTCTCTCCCTCTGCTCTCATTTTGAAGGTGAAAATCCTGGAAATAAGGAGAGCTGAGGTAGTGCTGGAGCTGTCCCACTGCCCCTTGGCCATCCCAGAACTCCCTGCCAAGCAGAGCTCCCAGCCACTTGCAGGCAGTGTGGAACTTCAGCCTCGACCTTGGGGCTGATCCCTCAGATCGGTTGCTAGCAGTTACAGTGAGGATTGTGGGGTTTTTGTTCATTTAGAGGATGTAAATGTCTGCCAGCCCGGAGCTAGACTGCAACCATCAGCGAGCAGAGTCTTGTTAGTACCCTGTCAGCTCTCTTGGCTTCTCTGGCTGCAGTGCTTTGCTCTCCCTCTCAGGATCAGTACAGAAGCTGAGGAGGAATTTCCTCAAAAGATTTTAAGCTCTGCATCTTGGGAAGATGAATAGAAGCAACAAAACGTTGCCTTGGAGGTCTTGGTGCAGTTTGAAAACTTGTTAGTGAATTGCTTCCTGGATCTGTCCACCCCAAATGGCCAAATTAGAAGTCATTTTGCAAAGTTATTCTTGCCAAAAAGCTTGCTGCACATGGCATAGGTTTAAGGTGGTCCTGTGGGGAAATGCCAAATCCTTGTATGTTTGACTTCTGCCTTCTCTCTGTGCCAGAGGACACGCTGATGTTCTGGAAGGGAATAGCTGATGTGGGGTTGATGGAAGAGGTTGTGTGCAACATCCAGAAGGAGATAGAAGAAGTGCTGAGAGGTGTCCAGCAGAGGCTGGGGCAATCTCCCTTCCAGATGACAGGTAGGTGATGAGCCAGAGCCTCATCATGGGGAAGAATGCTTGAAAGGGAGCTACAGGAAAACAAGTGAAAGAGTCCAGCCATGGCATGTAGAGCTATTGAGTCAGGATGGTGAGTTCCTTCCTGCTGGCTGAGCTCTGTAAGCTGAGCCTGAGCATGGTTTCAGCCTTCCCAACCATGAGGGGTGCATTCATTTACCCCACTGTGAGGCAGAAGGACTCGTCGTGCTGCCCTGCTCCTGCAGCATGCTGACTGGCAGCTTGAGGAGCCCATTGGATGACTGTCCTCAGCTCCAGGTGCTTGTTAAAGCCTGCCTGGATGTGCTGCTTGGGCTGGAGTTACTCAAACACTTTTCTTCATGACTGTGAATTTAAACAGGTCTTGCAGTCTCACTTCTTGTTCCATCCTCACCTGTGCCAAAAAAGCTTGTTTTGGGGCTGAACCAGATGAGGGAACAGGTTCAAAATAGCTTCCCTCCCCTTTTGAGGCTTATTTCTGACTTGGATCCGTTCCCTTATCCAGTTCAGCTCGTGGCCCTGTGAGCACAGGGTTGGCAGCACGGCCTGTCGATGCTCGAGGAGAACACCCATGCAACCTCAAACTTCATTTTACCCAAGATGTTTTTTTTTTGCTTCTCATGTAGCTTTGGGCTGGTGAATCTTTGTGTCAGGTAGGTGGCAGCTTTTGGAAGCTGTGAGTGGTTGAAGTCAGTGGATTATAATAGAAATTTTGCACAGCTTTTGGTGGAGCTGGCACATTAATGACACCGTCAGCTGCATGGGGTGATGGTTTGTAGGTGGAGATCTGGTTTGTATCTGTGTGATTGCAAATTATGCTTTCACTTTGCAGCAATTTTGAGCCGCTTGGGTGACACATCTCTGTTTCCTTTTCATTATCATGTGAATGAACTTATTTAGTCCTTGGATGTCTGAAGGATGAAGGAGAGATGGCTCTGCCCTTGTCAGCCGGCACATGTGGAAGAACAGAAATGGTTTTACAAAAAGCAGCAGAAAGTTTTTGGTTTGATCACAGCACCTTTTGAGTTCCTGATGAGGCCCTTGGCCCCCTGTGGGTTCAGGCACTCATTCCCCTGCACTTTCCTTGCAGATGCTGCAGTTTTAAACAACGTTGCTCACACATTTGGCCTGATGGACACAGTCAAGAAGGTTCTGGACAACAGGAAAAACCAGACAGAGCAAGGAGAAGAACAGTTTCTTTACACACTTGCAGGTAAAGTCAGTGCCCTGGCTTCTCATCCCACCCTTGGGAACCAATGTCACCTTTCCTCAACACAGCACCTAACAAACTGTATTTGCATTCTTGTTCAATCCACGTAGCCCTCAAACAAATGTACCCCAACCAACCCCTTTCCATCCTAAGGCTTGAGTGGAATTTCACGTATCCTTTCCTAGGAGAGATGAGGTGCTCAGGGCATTCAGCACCCCAAAGCATGATCTGATTCAGCTGGCATTAGCAGATAGGTGCTGCTGCTAGCTGTGAGCTGTGCTGCAGTCATCTGAGCCGCAGGCAGTGCAGTGCTGCACCCAAGCTCATAAAACTCTTTGTCTGCGTGGTGCTGAGCTGTCTGCTTGTCTCGCCGTGGAGCTATCTGGTGTCTCCCCTGAGCTGAAGCCAATAACCTGACCTGGATTCCCCAGAGCTGCTTGGTGGATGTGTCTCCCTCCTGTCTGTGTCCTGTAGGTCTTATCTGGGGTGTTCTAGTCCCCTACTGCCCTGGATAAATGAAATTACTGTGCTGCTTTTGGCTTCTGATGTTGATACGGATGAGGGCAGAGGAGGATGTGTGAGCTCTGCTCCTTGTTCCAGGCACAGGGCTTGGCTTCTGGGGGATCCAGCCGTGCTCAGTCACCAGTTCCTGCTGCCTGGAGGGGATGTCCATTCCCCGTGGGTGGGTTTCCCCTGGAGACAGAAGTGCCTGTCCTTTTGGCAGTGGGAGTAGCTGAGCGGTGTGGAGCAGTGCCTGCTCCTCCTTGGGGCAGGCTGGCTGTTGGTGGAGCCCCTCGGAGCACTCACAGCCTGCTGCTCCCAGCCCCACGCACAGCTTCCCCGTTCTCTTTGCAGACCTGGAACGGCAGCTGGAAGAGCAGAAGAAACTCGCCAAGGACCAGAAGGCCAAGTCCCAAACCATCCAGAACGTGGTGCTGATGCCCGTCAGTGCTCCAAAGCCCCCCAAACGACCCCGCCTGCAGCGCCCGGCCTCTGCCACCGTCCTCAGCCCCTCGACCCCCATCCAGCAGCCTCAGTTCACGGTCATCTCTCCCATCGCCATCGCTCCCGTCGGCCAGCAGTTCTCAGTGGGCAACATCCCCGTGGCGACCATCAGCCAAGGCTCCAGCCCGGTGACTGTCCACACTTTGCCTTCAGGCTCTCAGCTCTTTCGATACGCCACCGTGGTGTCCTCCTCTAAGACCAGCTCCTCCGACACCGTCACCCTCCATCCGTCCTCCAGCCTGGCGCTGCTGAGCTCTGCTGCCATGCAGGATGGAGGTGCCCTGGCCAACGTGGCGGCCGTGGTCAACCCCGTGGAACTGGTGGCCATGGAATCCGGCCTCACCTCCACCATCCAGGCTGTGGAAGGCACCTCAGACGACGGGCAGACCATCATTGAGATCGACCCGGCGCCCGACCCCGAGGCGGATGCAGATGAGTCAGAGGGCAAAGCTGTGATCCTGGAAACAGAGCTGAGAACTGAGGAGAAAGTGGTAGGAGATGTGGAGGACCACCAGCACCACGTGCATAACGTGGAGATCGTGGTTTTGGAGGACTAGTGGGAAAAGCGAGCGTCAGCTCGGGAAAGAGTTGGGAATCTGTTTTATTTTGGGCTTTTTTTTTGTTGTTCAGCATACTTTCCAGCCGCCCCATTTGTTTCCATGGATATTTTCATTGTACTGTATATATTATATATATATATATATATATAATTTTTTTTTTTAAACAAAAAAAAGCTGGAGAAACGCGTGAGACCTGGAAAAGGCTCCACCTCCACGGAGCACTGAACATTACTGCCTGTTTGTAGGGTCGTGGAGAGACTGGATCTCTGCTGAAAACCCCACCGGGAGGGATGGGACAGGGCTCCCGGTGCTGGGATCGTGGTGCTTCTGCCCCAGGGCAGCTGCAGCCCGGATGGTTTCGTGTCACAGAGACAATAGCCAGTGGCTGAGTGCTGGTGGCACTGCGGGAAGGGGTGGCACAGGTACCTCATTTGTATTTTTATTTTTGCCCAGGGAAGGGAATTCTTTTGGACTTTTCACTGTCACCTCAGCTGGGATTTTTTTTTTAATTATTATTATTATTATTTTATTATTATTTTTGCTTGGGGGAAGAAGACAGGAATCCTGACTTCGCTGGCTGTGTTTTCCTCCACACACGTTGTTTTTATATCTCTATTTTTTTGTATTTGTTTGCTTTCCCTTCCCATGCCCACATTTGCCAGCTGCAGAGCCCCGGTCCCGCTCTGGGTTGCACTTCTCTCCCCGCAGCACTTCTGCCCTTCCCTCTCCCCGCCTGGCTGAGCTCGGTGCTACACACACCGCTTGGAGACTTCCGATCACTTCACTTGCTTAAAGGCAAAAAGAACAACTCAAGCTTAAAACCACAGCCTCCCCACGGTGGGGCGTGCAAAGCATGTCGTGCTGTCGCTTTCCAGGAGCGCCGGCCTCCGGATCGGATCGGGGCGGTCCCGTTTACACTCCGTGCTGGGGCCGCTCCGTGCTTGTTGCTACTCGTTTGGTGGTTTTATTTTTGTATTATTATTATTTTTTCCTATAATCTCTCTGCAGGATTAGGAGCGGTGCATCGCCAGGACAGTGCGTGCACCTCTGCGGTCCCTCCTTCCTCCTCTTCCCAGCAGAAGGCAATAGGGATAGCTGGGGGATTGGATGGGGGGGGGGGGGAGTGAGGGGAGCTGTTTGGTTGGAAATGTGAATGAAGCAAAACAACAGCGAAGGAAACACACCTGGGGAGGGCGGGGGGAGGGGGGAGGAAGATGTGTTTGGCTATTTTTTGCATTAAAAGGAAAAACGGCACTGGGTTCAGGTGGTTTGTTTGGAGGCAGCAGTAGTGCAGAGTTTGCACTACTCTTTACTGAGCTGCAGGTGCAGCACAGAGAAGCTCCTCGGGCTGGGGAGGGGAGGGGGACTGGGTTCCTCTATGGGGCTTCGGGGCCCCTATCTGGCAGGAGGGGTGCAGGGTCTGTGTGTGCTGCAGGTGCAACCCATCACTGTGGGTGCAGTTGCTGCACTGAGTTTGCAGGGGCTCTGCATGCAGTCTCCCACCCCCTTAACCCTGCACCAAGGCCCCACCGTGGCCCCCCATCACTGCCTTCCTCCCTCCCCCTGGAAACTTGGGTTGCTGCAGGAGCGGGGCTGAGGGCATTGAGTGGGGGGCAACCCCTGCACATTCCGGAGTAGGGATGGAGTGAGCTGAGAGAACTTAAATCATAGGGTGATGAATCGCTGGACCCGAGAGAGATGTCTGTAGCAGGATTTGGGATTTGCTGCTTTGGGGCTGGCAAAGCGCATGCCTTCATGGCGTGCGTGGCCCTTTAAGAGCGCCTCGCACCGCACGGCGCGCTCTCCCCCGCCCATCCACGAGGGGGCGCTGTGCCGGTCCTCCTCCCGCCCGGCATGCGCCGCGCCCGCTCTCCTTTCCCCCCCCCCCCCCCCCCCCCCCCCCCCCCCACGCCATTGTGCCTGGGAGCGCGGCGCGCGCGCGGTGCCGCGTGACGCCCGGGGAGCGCGTGTGGGCGCGAGGCGGCGGGCCTGGGCCATAGACGCGGGCCGGAAGGAGAGGCGAGGCGGGGGGAGCGGGCTAGAGCGTCGCCTCAACCAGGCAGCCGCCGCGGGCGAGTCGGAGTCCGCCAAGCAGCCGCGCCGCGCCCGCTCCCGGACAAAGCCGCCACTGCCGCCCGCCGCCCCGCCCCGCCCCGCCCCGGCAGCAGCCGCTCCGCCGCGGAGCCATGTCGGCCAGCAGCCTCCTGGAGCAGGTAGGGGCCTCGCCGCCGCCCCCCCGGCCTCCCCTTGGTGGCTCCGGGCCTGGCCCGCTAGGCGAGGCCGCGGCTGAGGCCTAGCTGCGGGGCGCGGACCGGGCCGGGCCGGGCCTTCCTCCCCTTCCTTCCCTTCCCGCCGACTGCGGCCGCCCCTCCCCTCACTCACCGCTCTCCCTTCTCTTTCCATGCCGCCTCCGCAGAGACCCAAAGGCCAAGGCAACAAAGGTGAGACGGGGCCGGGCGGTGCGGATGGGCGCGGGGGGAGCAGAGCCGGGAAAAGGGCCGAGAAAATAACGTTAAAAAACAACAACAAAAAAACCACCTTAAAAGTGCTCACGGGGAGAGTTTGTGTGCGGAGGAGAGCTTGGCTTGGCTTTGCCCGCCGTGTGGTGGCACAGCGCGGTCCCGGGGCCGGCCCGGAGGAGGAGGAGGCGGTCGGTCGTGTTGCTGCTTGTTGAGCGCTTCCTAACGCCGCGCATCTCTTCCTCAGTGCAAAACGGCTCCGTGCATCAGAAGGATGGGCTGAACGACGACGACTTCGAGCCTTACTTGAGCCCTCAGGCCCGGCCGGTGAGTGAGCTGAGCTGCTGGAGCTCTGCCGTGCCCGTTGCTTTCCCCTCTTCGCCCCCTGTTTGTGTCCCCGTGCTTCTCCCAGCAAAAGCTGTGCTCGTGGGTGAGGGCTGGAGCTGTTGGCGACTTCTTGTGTCTTCCTTTTTGGGGCTTCCTACGGTTGAGGTTCAGCCCGCTGTCAGCTGTCTTGAAATTGCTGCTTCTGGTCTTTCAGTTGTGTTGCTTTGGTTTTGTTTCTTTGCTTGTGTGTGGCTCTTTGTGGAGCAGATGCGCTGTGCAGCATTGTGAAATTGTTTCACGAGATGCAGCCGTGCTGTGGAGGCATTTGGAAGATGCTATCTGTGCTCTCCTGTCTCTGCCAAGGAAACAGAAAATGTGTGTCATGGGGTTTTCTCCATTTCTCACCTCCCAGAACACTCTTGTCATCTGGGCTGATGGGACTTTCTTAGAACTTCAGTTAGGAGTTGAGGAGTTTGTGAGCAGCTCCTGAAAGTCAGGTTTCCAGATACTTTTTAGTTGTTGTTTGAGATCAGCTCCATTGCTGACTGCTCTGTCTTGTGAGCAGTAGGAGAGTGACACACAACAGATGGAGTTCAGCTGATTAGATGTTACAAGCATTACAGATAAACATCTGTAGTAAGGCTGAAGCAGTTCATTCTCTTGGCTTCTTTTCCCTTTACTGTTGGGACTGGTTAAAAAAAAAAAAAAGCTGCTTTGTTTCTCCCTTTCTGTATTTTTTAATCACTTTTCCTAGTCAGTGCATCGTTTCAGATACTTGTGATTCATGTTTTGTTGGAACATATGAGCAGGTTTCTGTCTCAGTTAAACGCTCAACAGGTATTTTCCTTGCTTGTGCTCTGTAAGGACCTGTTAGCTGTTGCACAATCTTGGGCATTCCACCTGTCCGTTAAGTAACTCTGCTCTATTTAGCTCCCTAAAACAAGTCACAGGCCTGAATCTGAGTTGCACAGGGAGAGAGGTGTGATTGCTTTCTCCACCCCTGAATAAAGCGAGCTGCTTCCTTTTCCCAGTGGTATTTTACTCCATTTTGGGCCACATCTCAAGATTGAGTTTCTTCTTGTGCACGTGTGTCACAAACTGGTCAGGGTGTCGTGAGAAAGGACAGCAGCTGAGGAGGGGGAGCAGAGCTGTGGGAATGCAGCAGCAGTGAGGGAAAACCTCTGTGTTCACGTTGGGTGAAACGTGAGGGTGACTTTGCCTCCTTTTCTCTCACTGCACTGCGTTGCCCGTCGCTCTCATCCGTCCTTTGATGCCTCAGTGGGCAGCAAACAAAAAGCTGGGCTTCAGTTTGGATGGCGGAGCTGCCGAGCCCACGAGCTGGGCTGTGACAGCAGTGTCACACGTGTGCCTTTCTGGCGAGGGAAAGGGAGCTGAGGCTCTGAATTAAACGCAGCCAACTGTTGCAGAGTAATGCAGGTGCTTTCAGGGCTGCTACCTGAGCTGCCTGCGCTCACACCAGGTGACACCTGGTAAAGTTTCTTGGCTCTTTGCTGGAGAGCTGCAGTTTCAGGTGTGACTCTTAGCTGTCAGCCCTGCAGAATCACATTGCTGTGTGTTCTTAAGGCTCAGGAACACAGAGATTCCTCAGCTCCAGGAGTCAGTAAGCTTAAACCCTCCTTGTCTGAGGTGCAGATGCAGAGGAATAGTGAGTTTGAGGAACCAACTGCACGAGAAGTCTTAATGAAGAGGTTAAAAGGCTTATTTGCATACCGATCAGTCTTTGTGCCAGTGCAGCAGGGCGAGGTGTGCTTGATAGCAAAGCATAGCTGCAGAAATTGGAAACTACAGCTGTACCCTGCTAAGAGTTGATTGTTTTACTTCTGTGCCATCTTCCCTGGGAAAACAAAGGCTGCAGGAACTCTGAGCTTCACGCAGCACAGGAAGTTTTCCAGCGTGTCGTGCAATGAACCAAGCAGCGTTACCAGCCCCAAACCTGTTGCTTTCCTTTGACTCAGTGGATGGTGGAGAGGTAAAAGTGCTGTTTCTGGAGGAGGCCAGAGCCATCTTGGGAGCCTCCATAGGCTTCAGTATGGTGTGAAGTCCTGTGGGAGCTGCGCCTGGCGCACGAAAACGTGATTCAACAAAAAATGGAGCAGAGCTGCTGCGAGCCAGGCTCTTAAATGGGAACCCAAGCTGACTTTTCATCTCATCTGCATCGGGTTGGCATGTAAGCTGCTGTGTAGCACAAGGCTGTCTGCACACGGGTTCACGTTACTGGATGATAATGTCCATTAGTGTGGCTTGAACAGCTCCCCGGGGGGATGTTGGTTTGAATGCTGAATGACAGATGTTTTTCATGTAAGTGAACCTTAGTCATGTCTGAGAGTTTCCTAATTGTAAAATTAAACATTTGTTTTCGTAACCTGAAGGCTATTTGGATGTTAAAAGGGAGACCAAAGCCTGCTTTGCTGTGCTGCAGAGGTCCCTGTGCTGCAAAGGGCTCCCAGTGCAGCACTACTGACTGCTCTCTGTTTTCAGGTATTTTTGAGTGTGTGCTTGCAGCGCTGGAGCAGCTGGCGTTCTGGCATTAAATCCTGTTTTGTTTGCAAGTTCTTGGGTGTTTGGAGCTTTCAAATTGTGGATTGTCAGGATAAAGCTGTAGGAAGTGCAAGGAAGGGGCTTGTGCTAAGAGCAGCGAGGGATGTTTGTGGTTTTGGCAGTGCAGTGCCACTGGACCTTTGCCCTCCGTATTGCCCTTCTCCACCTCCTTCCTCCAAGCCCTTCATCAAACACCCAGCAAAATAAGCTGTGAGACGTGCATTACCCAGGTGAGAAAAGCCTTCTTTTATAGTGAGAGGAAAAGCAGAAGATGATATCCGTGCGTGAGGTAAGGTGCTGTTCTCAGAGCTGAGCAGGAGCTCCTGGGCAGCCCAGTGTGCGCACTGCATGGCGCACTAAAACTGTGCTCTGATCTCAGTGTGAGGAGCGTGCTGAGCCTTTGTGCTTCGTACTGGGGGCAGCGAAGCTGTTGTGGGAGCACCCCTAGCAGCAGAGGTGCTTGGGGCCAGGCCTGTTTGTGGGCTCAGCCACAGGGTGGGAAGGCTAAGGCCTGGGAAGCCAGAGGTGGCCCTTAGTCCTGGTCCCTGCCCGCTTGTTCTCCTCATCCTAACTGTTCAGTGCTCATTTTTCTCTTGCAGAACAATGCATACACTGCAATGTCCGATTCCTACTTACCAAACTACTACAGCCCCTCCATTGGATTCTCCTACTCGCTGGGTGAGGCTGCCTGGTCCACGGGGGGCGATCCCCCCATGCCCTACCTAACCTCTTACGGACAGCTGAGCAACGGGGAGCCTCACTTCCTCCCAGATGCCATGTTTGGGCAGCCAGGGGCCCTTGGCAGCACTCCGTTCCTCGGGCAGCACGGCTTTAACTTCTTTCCAAGCGGGATTGACTTTTCGGCTTGGGGGAATAACAGTTCTCAGGGACAATCCACTCAAAGCTCTGGCTACAGCAGCAATTACGCCTATGCCCCCAGTTCCCTGGGGGGGGCCATGATCGACGGACAGTCCGCTTTTGCCAGCGAGACTCTCAACAAGGCTCCAGGGATGAACACCATTGACCAGGGGATGGCAGCCCTGAAGCTGGGCAGCACGGATGTGGCCAGCAACGTCCCCAAGGTTGTGGGTTCGGCCGTCGGGAGCGGATCCATGACCAGCAACATGGTGGCATCTAACAGCTTGCCTCCGGCCACGATCGCTCCCCCGAAGCCGACGTCCTGGGCTGACATCGCTAGCAAGCCAGCTAAGCAGCAGCCCAAGCTGAAGACCAAGAACGGCATGGCAGGTTCGAGTCTTCCCCCGCCTCCGATCAAACACAACATGGATATAGGAACTTGGGATAACAAAGGGCCGGTGACGAAAGCCCCCTCGCAGACCTTAGTGCAGAACGTGGCCCAGCAGCCCCCCCAGGCCTCCCCCCAGCCCGCGGCTCAGCAGATGAACAGCAGCCCTCCCGCGGCCCAGGCTCCCGGTGGGCAGCAATCCCAGCCTCTGCCCCCTCCGCCGCCCGCCCCGCTGCCCGTCCCGCAGCCGGCAGCTCAGCCCGCGCGTTGGGTCGCACCCCGCAACCGCGGCGGCGGCGGCGCCTTCGGCCAGAACGGCACGGAGGGCAGCGGGGTGGCAACGGCGCAGCCCGGCGCTGGGACGGCTCCTTCGGAACCTCACCCGGTGCTGGAGAAGTTGAGGTCCATCAACAACTACAACCCCAAGGATTTTGATTGGAACCCGAAGCACGGCCGGGTTTTCATCATTAAGAGTTACTCTGAGGACGATATCCACCGTTCCATTAAATACAACATCTGGTGCAGCACAGAGCACGGCAACAAGAGACTGGACGCTGCCTACCGCTCCATGAATGGGAAGGGCCCCGTTTACTTACTGTTCAGCGTCAACGGTAGCGGTCACTTCTGCGGAGTAGCAGAAATGAAATCTGCTGTGGACTACAACACGTGTGCGGGTGTGTGGTCCCAGGACAAGTGGAAGGGACGTTTTGATGTCAGGTGGATTTTTGTGAAGGACGTTCCCAACAGCCAGCTGCGGCACATCCGCCTAGAGAACAACGAGAATAAACCAGTGACCAACTCCAGGGACACTCAGGAGGTGCCTCTGGAAAAGGCTAAGCAGGTGTTGAAAATCATTGCCACCTACAAGCACACCACGTCCATCTTCGATGACTTCTCACACTATGAGAAACGCCAGGAGGAGGAGGAAACTGTTAAAAAGGTAAGGGGGGTGTGTGTGAGGGGGGGAGGTCTGAAGGGCTGGTGGGTGGGTTTGGGGCTGGCTGTGTGCTGCCCAAGCAGGAGCTCCTTTAGGGGTGCAGTGTGTGCTGCCAGAGCTGGGCGCTGTCCTGGCAGACAGAGCTCATAGCAGCTTGCCCTTGGGTTGCTGTAAATCCCAGACGTGTCAGTGTTGTGTTCAGTTCTATGAACTCCTGCAGCTCCTGGTTCAGAGATGCTGGACTTACAGAGCGGTGGGGACTCCGGGCAATGGCTGAGAAACAGAGCTGGGCTCTGGCAAGCTGTCTGATCCACCCCCTACCTCGAGCAGGATCAGTGTGACAGATGTTTCCCACTGCTTGTAAAACCTTCAGGCACAGCAGTTCCTGTCCCTCCCCGGGCAATCTAGCCCCGTGTTTAATTATCCTTCCTGTTAGAAGGCTTTGTCTAATGCCCAACCTCAATCTCCCTTGCAGCAATTTAAGTCTATGACTGCTGGTGCTCCCCTCTGGATGCAGAGCAGGTCATTGTGTTCCTGCTGGCAGTGAGCTGCTCCTGGCTGAGCCCTCAGCTGGGCTGCATCGCATCAGAGCCCCCCGTCCCCCTCTGTCTGTTGTTCTCTGGAGGGCTGAAAATTCTACCCAAACTCAGTGACCGTTCAAACCACCCGACCCCCTCTGCCGTATTTTGGTCAGAACAGTCACTACAAATTAGCATTAGCACAGCTTTCTGGGAGCTGGCCAAGTTTCCTGATCATCTCCTTAGTTTCAGCAGCGGGGAATTTTCCACGCAGCAGTTGAGGAACGGAGTCAGGAGCTGCAGCTGCTCACCTCAGCAGCTCGGTTCTTCATTTTTGTCATGCAGTTTGCATGGAACGTTGCGTGCACAAACATTCCCACCAAAGGCAGTCGTGTGCTGCAGCTGATACTCGAGCATTTGTGGTGTGTGCAGGAAGCCTGTAAGGCAGAATTTGCTGCAAGGTGTGCAGAGGGAAGGTTCTCCTTCTGTTTTACATGTAAACTTGATCTCTGTGTGACCTCACGTGGTTTCACGTGCTCTCCAGCCTGTCCCAAAGTGGTGATTTCTCCTTTATCAGCTGAGGTTTTGAATGCGATCCGAAATCTGCTCTGTGTGGGATGCTGTAGGAAGTGGGATTTGTGGTGTGCTGTGCATCTGACAGTGAGAGAAAGGGGCAGATCCCAGTGAGGGGAGAAGCACTGCAGGATGGAGGGGGAGGGGGATGAAAGCAATGAAAATGGTGAATGGAAATGGGAGAGAAGAAGGGAGAGTGACAGAATGGGGGAGACGTGGGGGAAGGAAGGAGGCAGACGGGTGGCCTTGCTGGAGAGCAAGTGGCCCTAAAGTGGGCAGGATATGAAAGCAGGCAACACAGCAGTTCTGTTCAGATGTACAACATCTTTGCTCATCTCTCCAGTTGCATTTTGAAGGCTCCTCCCCAGAGATGCCCAGCTTCTCTGCAGGGTGCTGAGGGTCAGCAGCAGGCACAGCGTGCCCAAACCTCCTCCTGGTGCAGCATCGGAGTGTGACCCCACGGTGCAGGAGTTTTGAGTAGGAAAGCATTTATTCTCTCAAAGGAAACTTAGTCATCCATCTCTGGAATTCACAGGCAAGGAGGGATTCTTGTAGATAGACAAAGCAAACGCCAGCTTTGCTGTTGACTCAGTGTTACGTGCAGAGGGCCCCTGCCCTGTCACATCCGCCGGGGAGGAAATGAGTTGGGCTTTCTTTCTGCTGCAGTTTGACCTCTCTGGTGGCTCTATGAGGATGGCTGGAGTTTCTCACTGCTGTTTGGTGGCTTCATTGGGAAGCAGCTGAGTGAATGCTGCAGCCTTGGGATGGTGGCGATGCATTCATGTCCTGCATTCCTGTCCCCTGAAGCTGAAATGTCTCAGGGTTTGGCTTGTTTGGAACTCAAGCTGCAGTTGTTTCACTTGGCTCTCAGCTTGCCTGAAGCTTTGTCTGCTTTACAGTTTGGTTCCTGCTCGCTGTCCAGGCAGATGGACGAGCTCTTGTGAAAGTCTGGGAACTCCTGAATGTTCTTTTGTGCTGCTTGCTGTCAGAGTCACTTCTGTAGAATGCCCAGAAACAGTTCCAAGAAATCAGACAAGAAATAGCTTGCTTAGTGCTGTGCTGTTCGCTCTGGCCAGCAGAGGGAGGCTGAATGGTTCAGAGCTGAAAGTGCTGCCGTCCTGCTGCTGTCTGCTCTGCCTGTGCCCACAGGCTCTCCAGTTCTTCCCAGTGCCTTTCTCCACTGAATGCACTTTTATGAGAGGTCTGGGTGTTTTTGCTCAAACTGATGCAGCTGATCGCTGGCTTGATCCCAGCTGAAGGAATGTGAGAGTGCTGGAAGCTGCTGTGTGTGGAGCGTGGCAGCAGTGCCTTCCTTGGGAAGCCTGCTTTATCCTTGTGGGACAAACAGCCCTTGGGAAGCCTGTGTGTTTCTAGGAACGTTGCAGTGAGCTCAGCATGAAGGTCTGGATGGCAGAGGGACGTGCAGCTTGCATGTGCAGGGCAGCAGCTTGCCTCGTCTGGAAGCAGCATCTATAAGCTGTGGAGGATCTCATTTTTTGTCTCACTGCCTCCCCAGGAAGAGCTGGGAAGGATGCTGCTTGGGTGCAGTCGTGTCCTGTCCCATCCCAGGGCTGCAGCACCACGTGGGTCGGCCTCCTCGCTGAGCTCAGACCCTCTGGAAGCAGAGATGGAAAGAGTATTGCTGCCCCTCGTGGGAGCTGGGGTGAGGGTGAGCAGAGTGGTGCAGTGTGAGCCTGCTGGGGACCATCCACAGCCCCTGTAAAGAGGGAATGCTTTCTGAGCCGTTCTGCAGAGCTCTTTCTTTCCTTTTCCATTTGTCCTACAGCCCAGACTGGCACTGCTGTACCCCTCTGCTCGCTGTCCTGGCTGGCACTGCACTCACATTTGATTTTACCATACCCACAGTGTTTCCAAGCAGAGGATAACACACCTTGTTTCTCCCAGTTCAATTCCAGGCCTCCTAAATCTGCCTGTCTGTGCCCTTCTGTTTGTCACAGCTCCGTAACACACAAACCATGCTGCATGTTCCAGCAGCTCATTGCTGCCTTCAGCTTCAGGTTCCCTTTGGCCTCAGCATTGCAGCTCCAAGTTGCAGGATGCCCTGAGCTGCTCTTTCCTACCAAAGCATTGATTGCATTCGTTGTGAACCAGAATTTCCCCCTTTCAAGGGAAAGTCTTTAACAAATACAACAAGACTTTGTTCCTTCTTCAGCCGACTTGAATTGCGAGTGTGGTTGGCGAATTCCCTGGGAACCACATGGAGGTTTTGGTATGCGAGGAGGGAAAGGAGGGAGTGAGGAAGATGTCATCGCTGGTGGCTTTTATTGTGAGTGTTTGGGGTAAGCTGCTGGCACCGAGGTTAAGAGCTGCTGACACAGGCTGTGTTCTGGGTTATTTTATTAGCAGAGGCTTCTCCATAGGGAGTAGCTTGCCTTTGAAGCAGAGCATCCATCAGCCGTGTCATTTAGTGATGCTGGGCTTTCTGCCTGCTGCAGGACGTTGCCTAAAGCTGACCAGGATGCTGAGGAGCTCCAGAGGTGCGGGGATACGAGGCCCTGCTGCGTGTGCAGGGTGTGAGGAGGCTGAGGGCAGGCTGCTGACACAGCCATGGTGCTGCAGTGCCCTTTGTCTGCAAGATGCTGCTTTCTCCTGTCCTTTCCATTTGGAAATGGAGGCAGCATTTCTGGTTCCGTGCCTTTAGAGGCTCTGTATTCAAAGCACAGTGCTGAGCTTTCTTTTCTGTGGTTGACAGCAGGGTCATTTCTTACAATGATACCCGATGTCAGCTTAAACTTAAGGTGAAATCTAAGTCGAACTTTGTCCCAGGGCTCTGGGGAAGGGTCTGCAGCACTTGCTTTGTGTGTGTGAGGAAGGCAGCATCTTCACCTTGGTTTTGGAGGCCTGCTGGGCGCATGCAAACTGCTCCTCGCTCCTCTTCCCCAAGCAGCTCTGTGTGCAGCACGATGGAGTGCTAGGAGCAGATCTCTGCAAGCACACGTTTGTCCATCTCTGAAAGCAGTCCTTCCTTGGAACAACTTGTGTCTCAGGAGCTCCTTGACCCAGAGGACACGTCCTCATCCAGGAGGAGGTGGGGAGCAGTAGGTTTCAGTGCACTCTGTGTCTGCTTTGCTTCTTCCCATCTGCATCACTTCATTTCTCTAACCAAGCAGGCCAAACTCGCTGTGTTTTCTTGCAGGTTCCTCCATTTCTTCACACTTGGCTGCTGTTTTGATTAGCTCGGATGCCTTAGGGCCATCAGTGAGCTTTGCTGGCTTCCTTATGACCACGTCAAACCACCAATTCCAGTGAAGGCCCTCAAGCTCCCCCCTGTGCCCAAGGATTTGCAGTCCTTAGCACTGCACTCGCGTGGTGAGGCAGAGCACAGAGGTGTTCATGCCTTGATTCTGCCTTGAAACAGCCAGGTGGGCTTCTGCCTTTTCCAAAGAGCCAAGGGGAAAAGCAGGAGGATGATCAGCTTCCTGGGAATTGGGTGCTTTGTTTGTGCAATCCAAAGTGATGGTTGAGCAAGAAGAGGCTCATCCTTTGCAATCAGTATTGCGGGCAAGAGGGAGGATGAAGCTTTCTGGCTGCAGCCAGAGCAACATGTTCGATTTTGTCCTCTTTCGTAGGTGAGGCAGGCCGGGGTGGAACTTTCGTCTGTAGCTCTGATGGCTTTTCTCATGCTGGCAGGAGAAAAACCTGGTGTTTGGTTTGTAAATCAGGACTGGGGGCTGTTTGTGGAGCACAATAGAAGTGATGCCCAGTCTGTTGGCTGTGGCTGTGCCTCGAGCTGAGTGTGTTGAGAAGGGAAAGCTCTGCAGGGCGACTCCGAGGCAGTGATGGCTGTGATGCAGGACCAGGGTGGGTCTGAAGCCCATCTTGGGAGCGAGCACATGGCAGTGCTGTGCTGTGCTGTGCTGTGCTGTGCTGGGGAGGCATCTGTTGTGCAGCAGGACTGGGGAAGCAGAGCTAGGGGCTGGGTGTGCTGCTGGGTGAGGGGTTGGGTGGCTGAGCTCAGCCCTGCAGGAGCACTGCTGGCAGCATGCAGCCGTTGTGCTGGGAAGCAGGCTGATCCCAGTGGAGCTGGGAGCCACGTGCTGCCTCCTTCTGCCCTCTGATGGCCTTCTGCTGCCCCACAGGAGCACTGCAGTCAGGTGTGTGTTGAAGGTGAGAGCGCACAGACGTTGCCATCCTGAGCTGCAGAGCCTGTGGTTGGGGCTGGATAACGAGATCTGCCATCAGCCTTCCACACTGTTAGCAGGACAGGGCCGTGGTGCCACCGCAGCCCCAGGGACACGGTGTGTGCAGAGCAGGGCCACCACTGAGTGCTCCTGGCTGCTGCTGCTTCCCTGCAGAGCTCGGTGCCTCCAAGTGCTGTTGCTGCTGCCTCTCTGGGTGCCTTCTGAGCCATTCCCCTGCACTGTGGGGCCGCAGCCCTGTGCCCTTGTTGTCTTTCCATCCGGGGTTTGGCTTCAGCGACTCACGTGGGTCCCTGGCAGCTGGGGAGGTGTGATGTGCAGCTGCCCCTCTGCCCACCCTCAGCCACCTCCTGGGTTCCTGAGCTGCCCACCCAGAGCAGCACACCGTGTCCCTGTCCTCACCCAGACCTTTCAGGCTGCCCAGAGAGGCTGTGATGCCCCGTCCATCCCTGGAGGTGTTCAAGGCCAGGTTGGATGGGGCCCTGGACAGCCTGGGCTGGTGTTAAATGTGGAGGTTGGTGGCCCTGTGTGTGGCAGGGGGTTGGAGCTTTGTGATCCTTGAGGTCCCTTCCAACCCTGGCCATTCTGTGATTCCCTTTGTCATAGTTGGTTTTTTCCTTCTTCTTCCTCCCTGTGCTGCTCAGTTCTTCTCTCCCATTCCTCCCTTTGGCGTGGCGATGCCCTGCTGGCACTTAGCTGGAGGCACAGAGAGGAGGGGGACGCAAGTAGGTGTCTGCATCCCAATGGATGGATCCAAGTTGAAGGAGGGAAGATTTAGGTTGGATGTTAGGGGGAAGTTCTTTACTAGGAGAGTGGTTAGGCCCTGGAACGGGCTGCCCAGGGAGGTTGTGGATGCCCCGTCCTTGGACGTGTTTAAGGCCAGGTTGGACGGGGTCCTGGGCAACCTGATCTGAATGTGGATGTTTGGTGGCCCTGCCAGGCAGGGGGGTTGGAACTACATGATCCTTGGGGTCCCTTCCAACCCGGGTGATTCTGTGATCCCACATCCCTGGAAGGAGTGAGGTGGCACCCATGGGTGAAGGCAGGCAGCTCCTGCCTTCCTCACGCTTCCCTTCCCCACATGGGACACCACTGATGCCTTCTCTCTTTTCCCCCTGCAGGAACGCCAGGGCCGTGTCAAATAAAGGGCCTCTCCTCCCCCAGAGACTGCAGCAGAGATTGCATCTGTCGGAGAAAGGAAAGAAAGAGCAAAAAAATCCCAGAGAGAAATTAGGACTTGGTTGGGTTTTGGTTTATTTTCGGTTTATTTTTGGCTTATTTTTCTTCATTTCAGTGACTTCAAATGGAGGAGGAAAAAAAAAAAAGAAAAAGAAAAAGGACTGTGACAAACTCGAGGAAAAACGAGAGGAAAGCATTGGAATTTCACAAGACATAGGACTGAAAAAAAGGAAAAAAAAAGGAAAAAAATACAGAAAAAAAAAAAAGTCCCTTCTAGGTTATAGAGCATAGCTGAAACCGTTCCCTTTCCTTTTGGCTTTGGTTGTGATTTCGGAGCATACGCTTTGGTTTTTGTCTTTCTACTACGTTTTTTTTTTTTATTTGAAGGCCCATAAGGGGCATTTTTGCCTTTTCCCTCCCCTTCCCCCCCTTTAATTTTTAACCCCACGCCTCCTCCCCTGGGTTTGACATTTGCACTTGGAACACCGAGCCGCTGTGCAAAGCGGAGGAACTTTGTTATCCCCCCCCCTCCCATCTGGCCTGGAAGAGGAGGAGCAGCCCGAGCACAGGGGGGCTTTGGGGCCTGGGATCCAGCAGATGTTGCCCACGAGGTTCTGTCCCAGTGGTTCCTTTTCCTCTGCCCCTTTGGCTGCTCAGAAGCACTCAGAGCCCAAAGCGATGCTCTGCGCTGCGGCGCTGCGTGGCTCGCGGATGAGGTTTGTGTTGATTGGATTGGAAAGGTGGGGATGGTGTTGGAATAAAAAGAAGAAACCAAAAACCTCCCGTTTTTTTTTTGTTTGTTTGTTTACAGGAAAAAGAAAGAAAAAAAAAATCTTTTTTTTTTGGACAAAAAACAAAAATATTGTAAAATGTGTAGTGATGAACTTGTTCCTTCAGTTCTTGTTAAGCCAATGAGGAATTGGGCGTCGCCTTTCTTTTCACCATTAATCACTTCTCAGTAATAAACGTGAGATCCTGTTGAGCATCACTGGTGTTTGCTGCTCCCTTTTTGCCCCCCTGTGCCCTGAGTGCAGGAATGCAGCAGCGTTCAGAGCCCCCTGCAGGGTGAGATGGGCTGAGGTGCAGCACCCATGGGTGCCATCCGTCCCCATTTTGGGGGCTGGGTGCAAGAAGACTGCGCTGGATTCCACTGCGATCGCAGCATCTGTGCATGGTTTGGATTTGGAGAGAAGTGCAGAGGAACACACAGCATTGCTGCCCTGCTTCCAGACCTCAGGGCAGGGGCTGTTCTGGGGCTGGGGTTGTTGTGTGAGGGCTGCTGTGCACTGCTGTGCTGTGCTGTGCTGTGCTGTGCTCTGTGGGGCTGTGCATCACAACCAGGGCTGTGCATCACAACCAGGGCTGTGCATCACAACACAGGGCTGTGCATCACAACACAGGGCTGTGCATCACAACCAGGGCTGTGCATCACAACACAGGGCTGTGCATTGCATCCAGGGCTGTGCATCACAACACAGGGCTGTGCATCACAACACAGGGCTGTGCATCACAACACAGGGCTGTGCATTGCAACGCAGGGCTGTGCATTGCAATGCAGGGCCGCGCACTGCTCTGCTCTGTGAGGTTGTGCATTGCTGCCCACTGCTGTGTGTAGTCGTGCATCGCTGTGCTCTGCTGTGCTGTGTGGGGTTGCGCACTGGTTTGTAGCTGTGCGATGCTCTATGAGCTTCCCCCCACCTGCTTTGGGACTGCAGAGCTTTGTGCTGATTTCTGGGGTTCCCTCTACCTCCTGTCATTCCCCTGTTTCAGTGTGTGCTGCCCCCACCTTGGGAACCAGGGGTCTCAATGGGCCCTGGCTGCACCCCCTTACCTGGGGTGTCGTAGGGCTGCTCCTTCTGGCTGTGGTTTTAGCATCTCCCAGCTTGGGCTGCCCCCACACTTTGACATTTGCTGCGTGCCTTAATGGTGTGACATGAAATCAAGGTCTGCAGCAAACACGAAACGCTGAGGCTGATGGCTGGGGGAGCACGGTGCTGCTGGGGGGGTGCTGGGGGGGTCTGGAAGAGGGGGAGATTTGGGGATGCTGCTTCCTTTGTGGTCTCCCTGGGGGGGGTGATTTGCTGTGAACCTCCTGTCCATGAGGACACCATGCGAGGTGGGGTGGGGATGTGGGGGAGGGGGACAGACCACAATGGTGAGGGTCTGTGGGGATCCGTGGGGAATAGGAGACCCCCAGAGGTAGGGAAATGTGGGAATGGGGGATGATGGGGACGTGACCCGTAGGGATGGGGATACACAGGGATGGGAACCTGCGGGGATGAGGTTGGGGGGGTTAGGAGACCCATGGGGATGCGGGGTCTGTGGGGACAGACCTACAGCAACATGGGGAATGCAGGACACATGGGGACCCATGGGGAACAGGGGCGATGTAGGCGGGGGTCTCAGCAGCACTTCCTTCCCTTGTCCTTCTGTGCTGGGGGCTGGGGGTGGGCTCCAGACCCCAATCCTGCATGGGGTACAGGGCGCTGGGTTGTCCCACGGTGACCCCGGGGCACATTAATGGTTGACAGAGGACCCGGTTTGGGTCCACTGCCCCATGCGATGGATTCTCTGCTGTCTGTAGGGGTTGTGCAACAGCCACCGTGCTGCGTCCATTCCCCTGAACAGGGCACAAAAACCCCACTGTCCCCAAAGGGAAGGAGGGCACGGCAGCCCCATGCGCACAAGACACGCACACTGTCCCCAGCTCCGTCCCCATGTCACACATCAGCCCTTTTTGTAGCCCCGTGTGCTCGCACAGCTCCTGGCTCTGCCTGCAGTGCCCCGTCCCTCCCAGTGCTCCCAGTGCTCCCAGTGCCAGGGCTCAGCCCAGTCCAAAGTCACAGCGGTGGCACAGCTCTGCGATGGCCATGCTGGATCCCCAGGCGCTCCCCAGCCCCAGCGCAGCTCTGGCAGGCAGAGCAGAGCGGCTGCACGTGGAGGGTACCCACAGGGTTCCTTGGGGTTGGGTTGGGGGGTCCCAGATCCCAAATCCCAGGGAGAGGGGATGCGACCCCTCTGGGGAGCCCTGACCCCCATCCCTACGCAGCCACTCACGCCGTCACTGGGAATCCCACACTGCCTCCGTTCCCCCCTGAGATGCAGACGGCGATTTTTGGTGAGTGCTGCCCCCAGCCCCAAATTGGGAACCCCATGACCTCTGTGGGGTCACCCCACTGCCTTCCTCCCCCCTCCCCTCCCCGCAGGCATGGGTTGCTTCTGGGGAGTGGAGCGGCTCTTCTGGGAGATGCCGGGGGTCTTCTCTACCCAGGTGGGATATGCGGGGGGCTTCACCCCCAATCCCACCTATGAGGAAGTGCGCTCAGGTACCGGGGGGTTCTGTCCCCAAAATGTCCCCATTGTGGCTGTCATTTACCTTGGGTGTGCCCCTGTGATTTGGGTGTGGGGTTTGGCTGGGCAGGGGCATTCTGTGGGGTGGGGAGGTTTGTCCCTCTGTCCCCTCGGTCCCCAGAAGGGGGAGGACTTTGAGGTGGAGGGGACTGGAGTGTCCCCACAGGGCAGACGGGGCACGCTGAGGTGGTGCGGGTGGTGTTCAACCCCAACAAGATCAGCTATGAGGAACTGCTGAAGGCTTTCTGGGAGAACCATGACCCCACACAGGGTATGGGAGAGGGATGGGATGGGGTGGGATGGGATGGGTGTGGGAATGGGATTGGGGTGGGATAGGAATGGGAGTGGAATGGGATGGGATTGGGATGGGATGGGATTGGGATGGGATAAAATGGGAATGGGGTGGGGATTGGCGTAGGATGGAAATGGAAATGGGATGTGTTGGGATGAGGATGAGAATGGGGATGGGGTGGCATGGCATGGCATGGGGATGAGGATAGGATGGGTTGGGATGGGATGGGATGGGATGGGATGGGATGGGATGGGGATGAGGATGGGATGGGATGGGATGGGATGGGATGGGATGGGATGGGATGGGATGGGATGGGATGGGGATGAGGATGGGATTTCAGCCCTTGTGCCATTTCTGGAGCCCTGGCCAGGCAGTTCAATACCAACCACCACACCAGCCCCATCTGAGCTCCTTTGCACCCCCATCCCTCAGTGCTCACGTAAACCCATTTTGCAGCCTCCGCCTTCCCCATGCCTCGGTTTCCCCATCTCCACCAGCATAAGCTGAGGCCCCACAGTGCTGTCAGGGTCATTGGTGCCCCATAACCCCCCCGGTGCTGTCCCCCAGGGATGCAGCAGCAGGAGGACGTGGGCACCCAGTACCGCTCCATCATCCTCACACTGAACCCCCAGCAGCAGGCAGCCGCGCTCCGCAGCAGGGATGCTTACCAGCAGGTAGGTGGGATGTGGGGACCCCCCTTGGGGGCACCAGAACCCCCCCTTGGGGACAGCAGGACCTCTCTTGGGGGCATTGGGACACCTCTCCGGGAACACAGGCTGCCATCCCCTGTCTCAGGTGTGGGGCAAAGCCCTGCTATGGCAATGCCACGCTATGGGGCAGTGGGATGGAGAGGTCTGTCCCAGTGTCCCCAACTTGTCCCCACCGTGGGGCTGTGCCAGGAGCTGAGCCAGCAGCACCGAGGGGACATCACCACCACCATCGAGCCAGCAGGTGACTTCTACTACGCCGAGGACCACCACCAGCAGTACCTGCACAAAGTGCCCGGGGGGTACTGCGGCCTGAAGGGCACCGGGGTCCCCTGCCCCGTTGTGCCCTGAATTCACCGTGCATCCCCAGCACGATGTCCCCGTGTCCCCGCAGTGCCACCCAAGCTCCTTGCTGGGAGATTAAAGCTGCATCCCCTCCATCACCCGGTCCTGTGCTGTCCCACGTGTGCCTGGGGGCGAGGGGACAGTGCTGGGGGGTCCGTGTCTGCAGGGCTGGGGGGTGATTGGGGGGGGGGGGTCCATGGCCGTGGGGCTGATGC